AAATTGTATCATTACTATGAAAATTGTAGTTATTGAAATTGAAGATTTCTTAGAAATTCGTGATTCGAAAAAATTCAAAGTTCTATCATTTGGGAAAGAGAAATGATGGATTTCTACTTCTCCATCTTTATCCAGAAAAATATGAGAATCTCACAAAGAGAAGAAGGAAGCAATTATTATTATTTCAAAATAAAATCTTCACAAAGATGTTTGCACCATAACTCTCAAAAACGAACTGAAAGAAAAAACCCTTTCGAAACAACTACATTGAACATTGAATTACACGGAAAAAAAAAATACATTCGAAACAACTGCTTTTATAAAATCATCTAGAGGAACAATTCGTTCTTACTTTTATATGAACAAGAAACGCTCTTTCCTATTCAGTTTGTACTCAAAATATTCGTTATGTAATTGAAGCAGATATTATTCACTGGATTGCTACACAATATAATATATGAAAGAGATAAAATTTCACTTACATGTAACACTGTCTTCCTCAATGGCATACATCCGATGTTTCGGAATAAGACACTATCCTTACTGCCTCTTCAGCTCCAATCTGAAAAACACTACGAGATGAGGCACACAATTCATTCATAAAATTTCGTCTTTATGTCACGAATGGGTTTATTCTACTCATATCATCGATAACAGTACGTAATGACATTCATTAGTGCATTTGATTCAATCCCAGCCACAGGATATTGTTCAAATTGAAAGGAGGTGGTGTTTCCGGTTTTGAAGCAAGTTGTGTTGTACTTGGACTCAATTCTTCTTATCGTTTCCGACAATCCTCTAAATTGGGAAAGGGCAAGCACTGGTTGTGACGGCTTCTTTTCCTTGCGAGGCTTTTTCTGACTTTCAGCCAAAGTCTGTTCCACCATCATTTTAGCCAGGCGGTTCGACGTGGGTGCTTTGTTTACTCTCTCAATCGACCGATGTGTGAGTCGATGGTTCAAGCCGCAGGCTGAACGATCAATTTTCACTTTCAGAACTCATAATTTTTTTATGACAAATGAAGGCAACATGCATAATATGAAGTGTTACAAGTTGGATAAACCTCTACATGATTTTCATTCAAACACAATAACATTTAAATAGAAAAAGGAATATTTTTAAAATGCGTTACTTTTTGAGAACGTTTTTGGGTTTCTACTTCTCCATCATCAAACAAAAAAGCGTATTTCAATGGTATTCAAAATATTGCTGGTGAAGAAGTGAAAACAAATGTCTTGTCCCGACACTTCGAATCACGCCAAAAATTTTTTTCAAGTGAATGAAATTTTACATCAATATGTTTTTCATATATTACGTTGTGGAGTATTTCTGTGGATGAAATATTTTTCAATTCCGTTACGAATGTTTGGAGAACTAGGTGAGGTTGGTTCAAAAGTGAATGGGTCTACTCTACCCTCCACCGCAACCCGCAAGGTTTTATTGTTGTTCACGTCTATTCAAACTCGACCAAATGAACCCAACTTACGAAGCCGAATGGTTTTTATGGTGAGTGACCTTTCAGGTCAAATGGTGAGAGTGTGGTTTCACCAAACTCTGAAAACCTGATTCGGTCCGCAGCGGGGCAGGCACAAAGTATATATTGTACTGTTCCATCACTTTCCAAACAGAAACGACACACACTGTCTTACGACAGTCCAAGTCTCTGCATATGATTATTCAGACGGCAGTGACCTGTGAGATGGCCTGTTCATCCTACTGTAGTCCAACAACTGCTTGATTTCAAGCTTCAAAGGGTGAATGAACGCCTTGGAGTGAGCTAATCCTGGAAGATTTTGCCAGAAATTTTTTAGCCATCCAGGTGTTCAATGTTTGTTTGGAAAAACCTAAATCGATGCAAATGACAGGTTCTGGTCTGATAAAGCTGCTTGCAGCACCCTCCTTTGCAAAAGAGTCAGTGGCCTCATTACCTTTCGGGCCAGGAATCGAGACCAGAGAAAATTTGTTAAGATTTCTTATTGAAGAGAGTCGTCTTGACAGTTAGCTACCAATGTAGACGTTGTTCAGTAGGAGCCAAGAGCTTCCAACGCCGCTTGCCAGTCCGAGAAAGTTTTTAATGACTTGTGTGTGAGGTTGGATTCTACCAATCTCTTCGCACACAATTCAATAGCATAGATTTCTGCTTGAAATAGAGTAGCAAAGGTACCTAGACAGGTTGATATCTCTGTCCTGGGTCTGCAACTGAAAACACCAGCACCAGAGCCTGAAGGTGTCTTTGATCCATCTGTGAACCAACAACTATCTGCTCTTAATATTTCCTTCTCCCGGAGGATCCAGACCTCTCTGCTCGGGAATAGTACTGTATAAGGCAGTTCTTAGTTGACAGTAGGAGGCATAATGTCAGAGGTCATTCTCAGAATGCTGCGACATCCAGTGTCGACCAGCAGTCTAGTGTACTCTGCATTAGATTGATTTGTGCAATTGGCTATGCACAAGTCTATATGCAGTCCATCTAGCATATAAACTTATCGGCTTCTTGATGAATCCGACAAGTTTATAAGGTGAGTGATCTTTCAGATCATATTATTCTACCAAACTCTGAAAACCTGATTCGGTCCGCAGCAGGGCAGGCACAATGTGTATGTTCTGGTGTTTCATCATTTTCCAAACAGAGGCGACTTACTGTCTTCCGACAGTCCGACTCTCTGCATATGATGCATGAATATGATGATTCAGATGACAGTGAACGGTGAGAAGGCTTGTTGAAAATCGTAGTTCATTTCTATCATAGTCCAACTACTGTTTGGTTTCAAGCTTCAAATGGTTAATAAACGCCTTGGAGTGAGCCAATCCTGGAAAATTTTGCCAAAAGTATTTGAATCTTCTTGCCATCCAGGTGTTCAATGTTTGTCTAGCAAAACCTAAAGCGGTGCCAATGGCAGGTTCTGGTCCGATGAAGCTGCTTGCAGCACCCTCCTTCACAAGGGAGTCACCAGCTTCATTACTTTCAAGACCAATGTGGCCAGAAATCTGGACAAGAGACAATTTGTTGAGTTTTCCTATTGAGGAGAGTCGTTTCTGGCAATTTGCTACCAATTTAAACGTTGTCCAGACGGAGACATGAGCTTCCGACGCCGCTTGCTTGTCCAAGAAAGTTTTTATTGACTAGTGTGTGAGGTTGTATTCTACCAATCTCTCCGCACACAATTCAAGAGCATTGATTTCCGCTTGAAATACAGTTCCATAGGTCCCTAGGCAGGTTGATGTCTCTGTCCTGGGTCTGCAACTGAAAACACCTGCACCAGAACGTGAAGGTGTTTTTGATCCATCTGTGAACCAACAACTATCTGCTCTCAATAATTCCGTCTCCCGAAGAATCCAGTCCTCTCTATTCAAGAATAGTACTACATAAGGCAGTTCGTAGTTGACAGTAGGAGGCATAATGTCAGAAGTCATTCTCAGAATGCTGTGACATCCAGTATCAACCAGCAGTCTAGTGTACTTTGCATTAGATAGATTTGTAAAATTGGCAATGTGCATAAGCCTATATGCAGTCCATCTAGCCTATGGTGAGTGATCCTTCAGGTCACATGACTCTATCAAACTCTAAAAACCTGATTCATTACGCAATGGGGCAGGCACAAAGTATATGTTCTACTGTTTCATTATTTTCCAAACAGAGGCGACATGCTATCTTCCGACAGTCCGAGTCTCTGCATATGATGATTCAGAAGATAGTGACATGTGAGAAGGCCTGTTAGACATCGTAGTCCAACTGTAATTCAAAAAATATTCGCTATCAAGCTTCAAAGGTTGAATGAACACCTTGGAGTGAGCCAATCCTGGAAGATTTTGCCAGGTCTTCAAATCTTCTTGCCATCCAGGTGTTCAATGTTTGTTTGGCAAAACCTAAAACGATGCCAATAACAGGGTCTGGTCTGATGAAGCTGCTTGCATCATCCTCTTTTGCAAGGGAGTCAGCAGCCTTATTGCCTTCCAGACCAGTGTCACTAGGAATCTAGACCAAGGAAATGTGTTAAGTTTTCCTATTGAGGACAGTCGTGTTGACAATTTGCTACCAATTTAGACGTTGTTCGGTAGGAGCCAAGAGCTTCCAACGCCGCTTGACTGTCCGAGAAAGTTTTTATTGACTTGTGTGTGAGGTGGGATTCTACTAATCGATCCGAACACAGTTCATTCAATATCATAGATTTTCGCTTGGAATACAGTGGCATAGGTCCCTAGGCAGGTAGATATCTATGTTCAGGGTCTGCAACTGAAAACACCAGTACCAGAGCCTGAAGGTGTTTTTAATCCATCTGTGAACCAACAACTATCTGCTCTCAATAATTCCTTCTCCCGGGGGATCCAGTCCTAGCTATTTGGGAAAGTACTGTATAAGGCAGTTCGTATTTGACAGTTGAAGGCATAATGTCAGAGGTCATTCCCACGTCTATATACAGTCCATCTAGCCTAACTGAATTGGAAAAAGTGATTTCTGTGTAATTCATTGCTTACGTTTGAAAGTAGTTGTTTCTTCCAGTATTTGAAAGAAACGTCTAAAGTCAATTTATTTCTTCATTTCTTCGAAAGTTCATCACGTTGTTTGTTTCTTGATGGAGGCGCAATAACATTCCTTTCCATTTGATTAATTTGATTTCCGGAAAGTGGAAATCAAAATATGTCATTCGAAAAATAGTGCGATACTTCCCAGTTTTTTTTTTCATTTTTTATAGACCACCTTATAACTACTTTTTCTGTATTTCAAACTTCAAAGAGTGAACTGTCGATTAGACGGTATTGCAAAAAAACATTATCGGACTTTATATTGTCGGTTATCTCCTAATGAATAAAAAAAAACAAAGAGTTTATCGCGGCTAGAAGTGACAGTATAGCACGTTATATGGTGGAAATCCCTACACAGATCAGCTGGAAAATACATGTACTTCTCTATGAGTTGATCGCAGCGCACTCCTGTCACATGATGGCGTTAGTGCGGGGAAAACCAAAGCAGAATTTCGCAATTCGCCAATTAGAGCTGGATATAAATATAGGATGCACTTTCTGCCCGACATAAGAAAATACAAAAGCAAATTGATAACATTCGCGGTAAACACATCGGAATTGTCGGATACCGAGTTTCATCTCTTCCATCTAATAGTGCAAGTCAAGTTCAAAGCCTCTTTAGAAGGAGAGTGAATAAAGTTCGCAAGGACTTCCTCGTTTGTTTTTTACAACTTTCATTTTTTGCGTGGAAATGCGTGTCGCTGTGATTGGAGCCGGGGCTGCCGGTTTGGCTTCTGCCAGACATTGCAAAAGCAAAGGGTTTTCCTGTGATGTTTTTGAATTACGTCCTGAGCTTGGAGGTACTTGGGTGTATACGGATGATGTTGGAACTGACGAATATGGATTTCCTGTATATTCGGCTATGTACAAGGGGTTGAGGTAGGTTTTCAAATGAGAAATTTGAAAAGTTTCCAGACATAACTCTGAGACAATACACCGATTTTTTGTCAAAATTTCATATTTATTTAGGGTATCAGGAATCATTTACATTTTTTCAAAGTTTGTCCACATTCAATACACATTTTGTTGAATTTTCTAGAAACTTCATGAAAATGTTCCTTGATTTCTTCCAAAATGTTTGGAAATTCTATTGGTGTCGAAATTTTCTCGCTTTTTTTTCCAAATGCTCCTCTCTAAGGCTCTTATGAACTGCATTCAGAAGATAATTCAGTTTTAAAAAAAATATAATTGACATTTTCCTGTGCAGAAAATGTGTCGACGTTTGAACATTTTATTTTTATATTTCGTCAAAATCCTATTTAAATTTTGTTGTGATTTGATTGAAATATTGTAGAAATCTTTCAGTAGGGTCTCATTTAAAATTTGTTCAGGGTGAGCCATTGAAAATAAATCGAAATTCTCATAATGGGCGTTGTGCACATAAAGATAAATCTTGCAAACACGTCCATCTCCTCGACATGGTGTGATCCAGTCTTTGAATCTCAGGAGTAAAGTGGTATCTCGTTTGAAAGGTCATCGATTTAAAATTTCAATATTGTCCACCTACTTCCTCAAATACAATGAATGTTATAATTCAATATAAAAATGTTGTTTTCCTGTGGAATTCTGAAATTTTTTCTAAGCACAGCCGTAAATAAAATGTTCAACAAACATTCGACGCTTCCGTCTAATTGAGACAAGTCACTTTATAATGCAATGAACATTGTGAAAACAAAGGATTTCGATGTGAAACATCTATAGCCGCACGTTAAACCAATTGTTGGCATGGCGACGCATGGCGTGGCGATGGGTCGCCATGCGCAAGCGACTGTGCGATTATCTACACACTCTTTCGGTGTTACGCTATCTTCCTCGCCACACTGAGCTCAGATGCCTATAGTGTATGAAGTTGTTTTTTCTCAGTATATATAACCTTTGATTTACTGAATGAATAATTTTTAAAAATGATTAAAAATGAAATATGTCTGACAGAGATAATTTAGAAAGTGAGAGTGAGCAGCCTCCTGCAAAGAAAGCAAAATCACATTACGACACACTATCAAGTCATCAGTAAGTTGATTATATTTTCATATTTTATAATATATGATGGAATTGGCCGATACTTGATGTAATTCCATAAGTATCATATTCAAAAAACACTTTATCATGAGGTTTTCACTAAACAATTTTACAAAAACGCAACACGTGTTTCGCCATACAATGGCTTCTTCGGGCGTGTGTTTATTAACTATATTCTACATATTCAATTCTTAATATACCTAATTTTACAATTTGAAGTTTCAAATACCTGATTTATACCTAAGTTTGTAATGAATTAAATTACCTGAGCTTATGTCCCAATTTGCACATTTGAAAAATTATTTAGTAATGGGGAGTTATTCAATTCTAATTGATCATTCAGTGAATCACCTGAATTCCTGAATCTATTGATTTCTCAATATTCTGAAAGATTGAGTTTCAAACTCTTCTCTTCTAAATGTAACACGTTATTCATGATGGCACTCATGTCCTTCTGCTAAAAGGTGGTTTGCAAATGTGGAATTGGTCTTTCTATTAACAAAACTACTTCTATGATCTTTAATTCTTTGGGGAAATGTTCTTCCTGTTTGGCCAATATAAAGTTTTGTGCAAGTCACAAGTCAGCTTATATACTCCTTATACGGGCAATATTATTGGTTGCCAGTTTTTTTAAGAAAGAATACTTAAACGTAGCTTACAAAACGAATAAGAGTCTGAGTAAATTTATTAAAAAGACAAAACTTCGGTGTCGGATAAATCAGGAGTATATAAGTTGACTTGTAACTTTTGACAAAACTGTGGTTGGCCAAACAGGGAGAACATTTTCCCAAAGAATTGAAGAGCATAGAAGTAGTTCTGTTAATAGAAAGACGAATTCCACATTTGCAAACCACCTTTTAGCAGAAGGATATGAGTTCAATCATGAATACGACGTGTGCCATTCAGAAGAGAAGAGTCTGAAACTCAATCTTCTAGAATGTTTAGAAATCAATAGATTCAGGAATTCGGGTAATGGGGAATGTTCCTCCTGACGAAAATCAAGTAGTTTCCATTAATGAGCTCTTGAACAACGCATTTTAAACTTATAATTTCAACGTTTTTCATTAAAAAATTATTTAAATACTTTAAAAAGAAGAATGAAATAATGCATTCAACATTTAAAGGGATTCGTTTCTATNCAGGGGTCACAAAATATTATAATTGATGTTTCACATCTGTGACAAATTTGAGTTACTTAAACTTGGAAGTATATGAACAAAGTTAGTTCAAACAAATAAGGGTTAGGCTATGTACTAGGAGAAAAAAGTTAAGGTTTTATAGAATTTTTCACGATGACTTTTGTGACAGCGAAAGATATGATATTTTAAAAAATGAAGTTTGTGAAGATCGAATGGTTAAGGTGTAGTTTATGGAAATTACTACGGATCTCCATCATGTGTATATTTCTAATTATTTCTCACAAACTCGTTCAAAATTTTCATCGAAAGTAGAAAATTCTAATGATATTTCGAATTTTTCACAACATTGTTTGGGAAAATGGCAAAATTCTGACAAAATTTTATATAATTTCGACAGGATATCCAAGTTTCATGAAACAGTCAAGCAGCACTTCGGACTCCCCCTCACCCCAGTTGAATCTTCAAACGATTAAAATGAAAGTGATGAAGGTGATATATTGTTTTAGTTTCGCAAGTTTGTTTTCAAATTGATACCTTTTTCATTACTGATATTGGGAGTGATTTCAAGGAACAAGACATATTTAAATAAATAGTGATATTCAGGACTGTGTCATTATTTTTATTTTGCTTAGCATGAACATATTAATGTTGTTCTATCTCCTAGAATTGTGTTGTGTTTTGAGTTGACAAGTTCAAAAAAATACGTTTGATTGTAAATAAGCTTATAATTTATTTGCCAGGATTTCTTTTACCATAATGATTTTAGCCAATATAAATAAACGAAAACACTCTG